TCTGGTCCCTGATTCTCACTGCAGGGTAATATCCGTGTTGCCATACTCCCATGGGACACCTAAAACGTTAGCTACCACCACTGCTCTGCATATAAGGAGAAAGAGGGTGGAAGCAACCGTTAATCAACATAAAACAGAGGTGCTTCAATCCCCTCTCTGTTGCTGGTCCTAAGACCCGAGTTGATAATCATTTAAAATTCTCCTTGCTCTCTTTCAGCACTTCAGCTGCATGTGTTTCTTCATCTGGAGGACTGACTGACCTGATTCCTTAGCGGCTCTGTTTTCATTGCTTGCTGCAGTTTCCCACTGACTGGAGTACTGAGTGCTGGAGTGCACAGCTCTAGACCTAGTTCTCCTGTGACCATCGTGTATGAGCAACTCAATTTCCTCTTGACAATCACCCAAGAAAGTACAGGGAGCCCCTTCTCTACCTGTAGGCTCAGTGGTGTGAAGAGCCCAAAATGTTTAAGAGGCATTCTCACCTTCCAGCAGAGCAGAACCATTCACATGACAGAGAGACAGTTTATCTCTACTTTCTTACCTAAGAAAGATCCTCATGTCTCTTGCTCTTTGGTATCATGTACCCAGGAGTACCCTGATTGTCTTTCCATGCAGAACCACAGGCTGATCCGTCACATGGATGACACTATGCTATTCCACGTGTGCTAGTTGTACTTGAGCAAAGCAGTAAAGTCCCTAGTACTGGGGAAAATGCTTTCTTTCTAATTCCTATCAGCAAAGATAATCAGAAGCAGAGGGTCTGCTGCAGAGAGCTCAGGGAATCTTTGTGCGGGAATATCTATCTTTAAATGACCATCTGCACATTCTGAGATGCCTAAAAGGGAAGTCCCTCTTGATGTCTGGCTACTTGATACTGTTTCAGGGGATCAGAGGCACTAAGATTAAACGACCATTTTTTCCCCAAACAAACTAAACATCTCTTACTTTGCCAAGTGCCCAGAATGCCTCTCAAGTATGTGAGCGACACAAACCTAAAATTCTATTTTGAGAATCTACACCCTAAGACCACTCCTGATCCCAATTCTGATATCAATTAGGGTCTCACCAGAGAACAAATGGAACACGGAAACTGTGACACAGAGGAGAGATTCATAAAAGGACTACTGAGTAAACCGTGGTCAGGGTCAAGGGAAGGTAACCCAGGGTGGGGAGCTAGCTCCAGCTGCAGGAAAAGGCCACCTGACAGGAGCTATAGCTCTGAGTGGGAGAATGTAGCTACTGTCATTTTGTGACCCACTGGGAAAGACCAGGGGAATAACTGTATCAATCTCACTTTCCTGCCACCTTTCAGTCTCCTACTGGCATCTCCCTGTGGCCAAACCCAGCCAAAACCCACAGGGCAAGAGAGCCCCACTGAAGCAGTCCACCAAGAGTTGCCTCTGGGGGCACAGAGCGGTGTGAAGAAGGGCAAGGAGAAAACACACAGGGACACAGCCAGACATCCAGAACACCATCTTACAGTTAGAACTGGCAGCATTTAGTTTTCTTTTTCAGTGGCATGTAAAATAATCATCCTAGCCTTAGAAACAGAAACCAGACACTCATCAAATGTGTGTTTCAGTTCAGCAAATATGCTCTCCTCCAAAAAAAAAATCAGGAGGAATAGATGACATATAATCAATCTTTACGGACATACAATCCATTTTCAAGTCCTCAGAAATAGCTTCTAATACAATACTTTCAAGATGTTAAGAAAGTGAATGTAGTGAAAAGACATTACCCTCTGGAGCAAGGATAGGTGGCACAAAGCTTTGGCCTGGGGTACGTATTCCATACAGAAGCTTACAGGTGGGCATGTTAAGTGTTGAAGTTTTGATACTAATTTTGTGCTAAGCTTGGCAAGATCAGTAAACAGGCACTGTCATTTGTAGCCAAAAAGAAAACCAAGAATACCAGCAAAAGGAATACAGACCTACTACCACCTCCAGGGAATTTTTGTAAATGTTCTTGTTTCTTAGGATTCTTCCATCCTCTTGTCTCTCCCTGCTTAAAAATAAAGGTACTGTATCATACTTAAAAACTTAAGAGGGGCCATCAGGTGAGAAATTGGGGATCCACAGAGGTGAGGCTTAGAACCTCACCCCCCCTGTTTTGAGAGAAATCTTCTGCATCCGTGGATGTTTTATTGCCCTTGTCTAGCTTGGATTAGCACATAGTCTACAGGCACACACCTGATCATCTACATTTGCTCTCTTACAACACTAAACTATGTTTTCTACCTTTATCTTGCATCTACCTACCACTTCAGCATTTTATTAAAAATAATAATAATAATAATGGGAGAAATGTGGGATCCACATATAAATCAAGTATAAAAATCAAACGAATATTCATATTTGACCTGATTGTTTTATAGTTCATAATGCGTGATCAAAACCGAAAGTTTCTGTGATGACTGCCCTTGTACTGTTCACCATGTAAGAACTTATTCACTATGTAAGAATTTGTTCACCATGTAAGAACTTGTTCGTTATGCTTCAGAAGATTGGAGACTGACGAGAATTAGGCTTGGGGTAGATTAATGATTGTGCATTGAGCATTGACTCCCCTATACAGAATTTTATTGTTGTTAACAACCATTTGATCAATAAATATGAGAGATGCCTTCTAACAAAAAAAAAAAAACTTAAGAGGGTAGACCTCATGTTATGTGCTCTTACCACAAAAAAAGGGAAAAAAATAGAAGGAAATGAGTTATCAGGCCACAAAAAAGACAAGGAGGAACCTTAAATGTGCATCAATAAGTGAAAGCAGCCAGTTGGAAAAGGCTGCTCACTATATAGTTCCAACTACAGGACATCCTGAGAAAAGGCCAAGTATAGAGACCATGGAAAGATCAGCAGTTGTCAGAGGTTGAAGCACAGGAGATTCTTTAGGGCACTGAAACTATTGTCTGATAATGTAACTGTGGATACGTGATAGTACGCATTTGTTAAAACCCACAGAACCATAAAACACTAACAATGAACCCTAACATAAGCTATTTAATTAAGAGTAATGTACCGATATCGGTTCATCAATCGTTACAAATGTACCGCACCAAGGCAAGATGGTAACTACAGGAGCAACTTGGAGCAGTGAGGTGGGGGGAGGCAGCATATGGGACCTCTGTACTTTCTGCTTGGTTTTTCTGTAGACCTAATAATGCTCTAAGAAATAAAATGTATTAATTAAAGAAAACAAACAGATCAACTTCCTATCAGAGTAGGAGTTTAGGAAAGTAAATTGGCAGCCTAAGCAGAGGTACCAGGGACAAAGCAGAAATGAACAAACATGTAGGTGACCAAGTCTTGGGCAGAGTCTGGAAAATTACCCCTTATTTCTTCCTAAGGAGCGTGCCTATTCCCGTGTGGCAGTGACCCAGCAATCCTTAGTTGTTCTTAGGATACTGAAAGTGTGTCTTGCTTCTCCAGCCCACTAAACACTTGGACTCATCTTCAGCCCCACCCCCACAGCCCCGCCAAAAGCCAGCCTGCTCATCACCATGACACTCAATCCAGAAATGGGGACTAGTACATTCAGAGCTGGGCCAACTCTTGCCCTGATAATGTGGTGCCATATCAGAGGTTCTTTAAATATTTGTGTAACATTGATTTGGAGGACCACCTGTGTGGTAGAAGGGATACAAAAGAAATCCCCCATGGAGGCAATCGCCCTTTCGCCTATGTCCTTAGCAATTCATGTCTGGCCCTAACTGTCTGCCCCATTCAGCAAAACAAAAGCCCTGCCTCTAAGCAGACCTGTCTTTCTTAGAATTTATCAACCACCAATTGCTCTTCAAGTGTGGGGTCCCCTCCTTACTTATCTGCTCAAGCAGACATTATTTCTTCCTGTTAATACCATGCTCTTCCTGAGAGGAGTTTTCCACCTCATTATCTTTTCAGGGGTGTTTTGTGCCACTTCTAATCTAGTACCCTGGGAAGGGATGTGGCTAGGGCAGACCCCCCCGGCCCCCAGCAAACTGGCTCCATGCATTCGGATGCTTTGCAAGCCAATGACTCTAACAGAAGTGATAGGAAAGTGCTGAAAATTAATAGTACTTCCATTATACATGTGGTAAAAAGTGTTAAGGGCATCGCCTGAGGTTCTGGCATGCACTGCATCTGGCAGAGGGACGATGTAAAAATGTATTTAGGAAGTAAGGAGGGGTGATGAGAAAGGGCAAAAGCAAGATTTGATACCTTATAGTCTAGACCTAGTCAGGCAGTGGGTACTCAGGGGACATTTCCCCAAACAGGTGATACTGAAGACAAATCAGGCTGGTGAGAAGGAACAATAAGGCTCCTAGTAAAGGCCAGGAGATGGGATAGAGCCTGGCACAAGGGATTAAAAAAATAAGCAGAAAAATGCACTGCATGGTTGAAAAGAAGGGCAGGGGAGGCACGGCCTGGGACAAGCTGGAGAGGAGGCAGTAACCACCTTATGCAGGGCTGGCAGGCAGTGAGCAGGAATTTAGATTTTATCCTCAGAGCAATGGGAAGCCACAGAGGGTTTTAAAGCATGATCAGACTTACATTTTTCATAAGAGCACTCTGGGAATGGACAGATGATGATAAGGAAGAATAGCTAAAGGCTGAAGCTGAGTTTAGGTGGTGGGTCTAAGGGTGTTCACTGTAAAACCACTGCAACTTTTCTGTATGTTTGAGTATTTTAAATAACATGTTGGGAAAATCTGGCCCCAGAGTATGGACTGAGGGAGGTCCAGAGAGGGTGTACAGATGGCAGCTAGCAGACTTTCTGGAATGAACGTAGAGGGGGAGATGGCAACTTGGACTAAGGTGGTGGCATGGAGATGGTGAGAACTGGACAGGCTTTCGAAATATTTAGGAGGTAGAAGCAATCTGATTTCCTGATTGACTTTGCCTTAGGGTAAAGGAGAGGCATGAAACAAAGATCACTACCCGGTGTTCCCAAGTCTGCTACTGGTAGGAAAGGGCAGCCACACAGTCCCCAGAGGCCTCATTTTGGAGAACTGGTACCTTCAGAACCTGCGCTTGGCCATGCTGGACCGGAGCATGAGCACGCCCTCTACAGCAGTCCCGGGGTTGTCGGCCATCTTCTGCCACAGGCGCTGCTCTTCCCCCTGAGAATCCATCCAGTCCACGCTCTTCCCATGGCTCACACCTGAAGAAGGGTAAGGGGAGCATTACACCGCACAGATCAAATGTCGTCATCCTCTGCAGGTTACTGGGTATATTCAGTCATTTCACAAATATTTATATTCAGTCCTTCTGACCAGAGCCCTTCACCAGCTTGTTCTCACCATATCCAGTGAGCGGTGTTAGATTGGAATACTCCTTTGCAGCTGGCACTACTCTCTTCTGCCCAGATGATGAGAAGCAAATCAGGACGGTCCTAGTGGCTCATTACTTCCCCACTTTGGTAGTTTAGCAGGCAGCTGGCTCATTCGGCCTGAGTTAACAGGACAGAAGAACAGGCTGAACTGGCCTGGGGCTCACCCTTTCTAACCTCTCCCTTTCTAAGGCCACTTCTCCAACCTGCAGGGTTTTTATTTTAGTGGTATAGACATTCTTGGCTCTCCTTGACTGATAAATAAATAGAGCACCATTGGGGTGGGGTTTGTTCTCAACAGGAATGGTAACCATGGTGCATGCAGACCATTTATGTCTGGCCTAAGCTATGCGATGAGAATCTGGGGACTGTACGTGCGCTATTAATTTCTCCCAGTTCATCCTGTTGTGTGTCTTATGGTACCAGTGTGTTTTTGTGACCTGCTTGGACAACATTAGATGTTATTTTTTAGGGAAACAAAACTAATTTCAATTCAACCAGGGTGAATAATGGCTGGGAGTGCTGAACAGAACTGAGAAGAGGATGAAATAAACTTGGTCTTGGAAGTTCCTCTCTCCCCAGTCAGAAGTCTGTGCTGTCTTGGTGATCCTGTCCTGAGCAAAACCTGAAGTAAGGCCCAAGAAAGTGGCTGAAACTCATTAAACCGAGGTGTAAATGGTATTTTATGAAAGGACTGAATATAAACATTCTACACCCCAAACTACCAGCCAAAGGAGGGATACAAAGTTATGTAGTAGTAGTTTTGTTTTCACAATGAACAGATCCTTGGCTAAAGGACTGGAACATGCATGGTGATTGCAGGGGTCAGCTCAGCTGAAACTACTCATATGCCTATTGCATATCAGCCTATACAACCACTCCCTGCCCGCTGCCCAGCCACAGACCCCTCAGGGCCCTGAGTCCCTCACCACTTCCAGAATTCAAACGAACTCCTCCCAGAAAGATGTTGCTGGAAAAGGCCTCCTTGTCCCAGATGGTAAGTTCTAGGCAAACATTCATTATATCCTGGGGATGCAGGCCACTGAACATGAAAGTATGATTCCACTGAGGGTTAACACTCTTCTTTATTACCAGGGTTTTGTGCTTGGTGGCTTTGCTATCATCAGGGAGCAGGTAGCTGCAGGAGAAAAGGTAATCAAGTCATCAGAGAGAGAGAGCAGACAGGAAATAGCATCCTTGAGTACTTATTTCAATTTCCTATGATTGTGTGTGTGTGTGTGTGTGTGAAGTGCAATGTGTATTTGATTTTCTCTCCTAGGTTCTTATATGCTGACATCTGGATTTATTTAGTGGAATGGTTTATTATTTCTTCTAAGTGGAGCAATAGTAAAATGCCCACTCTCTCCCTTCTAATCCTATTTTGGTCCTTCTCTTATCTTGAAATGACAATACCTCCTCTGGTAGACACTATTTAATGTCCTGCCTCCTATGATCTTTGGCCCACCTTTGAGTTGACCTGAAACCAGCATGAGCAGTTCCTGGCATGCTGACACCTCCCCACCTCAACTGCCTGTGTCTCTCGGCTTCTCTAATTAAGGCCTTTCTCCGGGGTGTGTGAGCTGACTCAGGTTATGAGCAGGGAACCCTGGGATTCCTGGAGATTTAATCTCCCTGAGCAGCCCTCAGCCAATGAGTTGTGCAGATGGGTATATGAGTCCCCCAGCTTCCCAGTCCCTTGAAGAAACTATTCAAGCTGTATTCCAGAGAGTTGCTTGTTGATTCTCCAGTGGAAGTGAGCCCCAGTTGCCCACTGTGGTGACCTGATTATTAACATATTTTTATCAGCTTCCCTTCCCTCTGTCTCAATTTCTCTCTCATTCATGTTTCGTGGAATCTCTTCTCAAATAAAACACTTGCATTCAGGCCTTCTCTACTATGGTCAAAACACTGGAGAACTAGGCTCTATGTACCTAGATGAATCAGGGAGCATACTTTTAAGGAGAAATATGGGTATGGAGGTTGTACATCAAACAAACTCGAAAACTACCACAAATGACCTTATAATAAAGAAGATATATTACAACACTTGAGACTGCATTTCATGTACCAAGCAGAGACTGCTTATCTCCTAATATTCATTCTCTCCTTATTCTTCTATAAAAAAATCCTCATTTTTTTAGTTCAGCCTCCCTTGCAGTTAGTGTAACCACGTGACTAAGTTCTAGTCAATAGGATATAAGAAGTTCTGTATGAAGCTTCTAGAAAATGGCTTGCCAACTGGAATTTCGATGGGATAGCTAATACCCAAACAGCTATCTTGATCCATGAGGTAGATACCATAACAAGACAGAAGCAGCCTGAATTCCTGTTTATCATTATGCTTCCATACCTGCCCTAGATTCCTTACCTTCAGTCTTTGTTTACACACAAGAGAAAAAAACTTGTTTTAAGCCTCTATTACATTGGCTCACAGACAGATCTAATATTAACTGATATATTTAATAATATTAAACTTTACAAGAAGATCTATTCTTACTCTCTCAGGCTCATCTAAAAAAATCTGATGTCCCCTTAAAATCAGCCTCCTGTTCAAGTGTAACTAGGGAAAGAATTTACTAGAAAGTTACTGGTCTTTTCTCTCATTACAGAACAAAGATACCGTCCTTTATGATCTCTGCTCCATAAATGTTCAACATGATGAAGTGAAATCTATTTCAGAAGATGTTATATCACCCCTGCAAGACCACAACGCAGTCACAGGTGAGGAAGCAATGCCCTCTTGCCGCCAGACTGTGGGCGGAAAGAGGCCTGAGCTGACGGGAGGGCAGGTGAGGCAAACAGCGAGGGAGGGCCCAGCTAAAGCATTTCTTTGATGCTTACACCTCCTGTGAGACAACGAGGGAAGGGCAGATGGGCTGGGGTTTGGGCACACCCCCTCACCCGTGGGGAGGCCCTCCATACCTGCTTCTCCTTAGTACTGGCTTTATCAAAATTAGAACATGGGAGGGCAAAAGCTTGACTCAGTTCCTGGCAGGGAAAATCACACTTGCCTAAGAAGAATGAAGGAGAGGGACAATATCGTCGTCTGACTCAACAAGTGAACTTCAGGGCTGGCCTAGCAGGAGTATGGTTCACCTCAGGTGTTTATGGTGCTCCGTGAGGGCAGGGCCCAGGTCTTGTGTCTGCAGCGGCCGTATTTAGTGCTTGTGCATGTGCACTCATGTGTTTGTTTGAATGAATGAAAAATATCCTTCTGGCTCTAATTCCTCTACTTGTCAGAGAAAAATCTCAAATAGAGATCAAAAGAGATTGGTTATTTGAGTTGCCTAGAATGGGCAAGAATGTCCATGTAAAGGGCTGCATTCCTTCAAGACATTGCCCTGTGCTCCCCAAAGTGGGCACAGACGCCCAAGAAACAGTCACAGAGCTTCCCCAAAGCACTCTTCAGTGACTCTCTCTGGGAAAGGTGCCCTGGCAGCTCCACTTTTTACCACTGCCCCTCAAAGAGCCAAATGCCACAGGTCCCATAGTTTGGTTGTTTTTGCATGCTACAAGCACTGCATGATAACAAAGACAATAAAATATATGACATGTAGAAAATCATGCTTTCTCCTTTGAGACATGAATTTCATGGGAAGATTTGCCAGTCTTGAGGGTGAGAGTGATGGGAAATCCTGAAACATGTTGGAAGCCAGCTGCAAGCTAGAATAAGCAGTTCCATGTACAGGCGTATTGTGTCAGAGGTGAGAGCCAGCGCTCAAGGTGGGCTCTTCCCTAATACATTTAGAATAAGAACATAGAGGCCTCACAACTACCACTGTCTAGTAGAACCACAGATCCTTTCACGCCCCATCAAGTGTCTGGAATGAGTTAAAACAAACTTACCCCTTCACAAAGCTATCAGAAGTGCCTCCCGACTTCACTGCTGTCAAATTCTTGGCCTCTTTGATGAACACTTCCAGTATTCCTCCAGAGGTTACAGGCAACTCCTTCCTCATCCCCCTTTTAAAGGTCTTCTTTCCTGCATCAGCTGTCAAAATGAAACAGAGAGAAAAAGAAAAATGAAAGAGAGAGAGAGGAGAAAATAAGAAGACAGGTGGATCATAGGTTCCATTTAAGAACTGACAAAGGAAATACACCAAGATTTATTTCATTTGCTGACTGAATCAGTTTTCACGTTAGTGTAGTTTCCCATGTATTCATTTAAATGTTTTTGCCCCATTGGACTCCTTCCAGAGAGGTCTTTCATTTGTGTTTGTTGAAAACAACAAACAAAAAATGTAAAATTGTAAATACTCCCCTACAAGCTCTATCTTTTCACAGGGTATAAAGAAATAAAATGCAAAAGACCCTGAAAGGTACATGGGCCACATTCTTGCTCTTAGTGAGAAATACAGTGGAAGCCACACACAAGTGTTAAGACTCAAAAGAGAAAATTCCACAACTCCCTTCTTGGCTATTTTAGCCTTATAAAATTGTCAGGTCCATGCAAGACCAGCTCTAAAGGCTATGGACCAGGCACAGTTACATTTTTGGGGGAGAGCAGCTCTTCCCACATCACATTTTTATTCTGAAGAGAGATGCTAAACATGAATAATAACTACTACCTCCACCTTTATTTAGTGCTGTTTTAAGCACTTTGTATGAATGAACATATTTAATCCTTGCAATGTCCTTATGAAGTGAGGAAACTGAGGCTGAAAGTGACTTGCACCAGATCACACTGAAGAGAGCAATGGTGAATGGAAGGAGAGAGGAGGCTGCCTCTGAGCTGATGGAAGGAGAAGGGAAAGAGCGATTTAAAAGTTGACTCCATCTGGATTTCTCCTTCACATTCTGTGTTCAACATCAACCTTGTCCTCAAGACTTCCCAAATAGCTGTGAAGGTCATAGATCTGTACAGCAGCTTTCTACACCTCCCCTCTCAGCAGTCTGCTCCCCCATTCCCCCCACCCTGCCCTGGGGAAGATCCTACATCTTCCAGGACTTTCAGGATACAAATCTCACCATTAAGGCTGGTTCTTACATAAGAATCCTGCACCCTTCCCCATACAGTATGCACTTCCCAACTCTCCTCAAAAGATATGACACCTGCCCCTTTACAGTGCATCTGTGTAATGCAAAGGAAGATAGTCCAATTCCTGCTCCCTGCTCACTTCTAGAAACAGAATTGTTGTTGACCAAAGTCAATGATTTTTACTCTACCTTGGAGTTGTCCTAGTGGTAGTGCCTGGTTCTCCTCTGGGGGAATGTAACGTAAAACAACTTTCAGCTCTCCTTTGTACTGAAGGCCAGTGTCAGCAGCAAATTCCACCTGGCCAGAGGGAGATGGGTGAAATGAAGGAGAGAGCATGCCTGGCTTATTATTTTGTAGCTCAATAATAAGTGTTTGAAAGTACACTATTTATTTGGTGCCCTAAATGCGACAATCCATTCTCATTCAACAATGTTAGCACTTACTGGTTTAAGAGATGCCTTAAGTATGAGAAAAGAGACTGGAAAAGTTCACACAGGTATTTGCACGCAACTTTTAATATTAAAGTAATAGGAATTACAGAGGAGATATATAACACATGTGTGGTCAGTCAATGGATATTGAGCATCTGCGGTTGACTGAGGACTGGAACCGTCCCTGAGCATACACATAGTTTTGGATTTGAGGCAGGAGTAAAGATGCCACTGAAAACAGCTCCAGAAGATACTTCCCCCTGCGTGTCCTTGCCACTGCAAGGCCTTCTTAGGTGGCCAAGAAGGGGGAGGCAGGCAGCAAAGCTTGGTTCACATCAGGTAGCCGGCCACCAATTATTAAAAAGCTATACTCCTAATTCACATCATTAAAATTCAGTGTGGAAAAACTGGTTGACCCAAATATCGCTGGTGAGAATGTAAAATTGTGTAGCCATGCTGGAAAACGTTTGGCCGTTTCTTACAAGACTAAACATGTAACTACCACACAGCCTAGCAGTTGCACTCTTGGGCATTTATCCCAGGGAAATAAAAGATTATGTCCACACAAAAACCTGCCCACAAATATTTGTATCATCTTTATGACAGCAGAACACTGGAAACAAGCTGGATGTTTTTCACCAGGTGAATGGCCAGACAAACGGTGGTACATCCATACCACAGAATACTAGTCAGCAATAAAAAGAGTCATGATTGATGCATGCAACCAGTTTGATGAATCTCTAGGCAATTATGCTGAGTGAAAGAAGCTAGCTCAGAAGGACACGCCCTGTACAATTCCATTTATGTGACAGTCTTGAAACAATGAAATAATAACTATGGAGAACAGATTACTGGTTGCTAGGAGTTAGGGATGGAGTGGCAGGAGGGAGGTGGGGGTGGCTACTAAAGAGCACAAGGGATCCCCGTGGTGATGAAATCGTTCTGTATCTTGGCTGTAGTGGTGGAGACACAAAGCCATGCAAACAATAAATTGCTTCGAGCTAAACACACATACACCCAAGTGAAAACCAAGCACATCTGAATAAGATGGGTGGACTGTATCAATGCCACCAACCCTGGCTGTAGTGCTGGCACCACAGCTTTGAAGATGTTACCACTGGGAGAAACTGGGAAAGGATATGTGAGATCTCTGTACTCTTTTTTATGGCTGCATGTGGATCTATCATCTCAGAATCAAAAGGTTAATTTATAATTATGAACATACACCCTTAGCCACTGTTCTGTAGGTCTCCCACTGCCATTGAGCCAACTGAGCTTTTCTCATGAATAGGGTGAGAAGAGCAGTGTACTTTCTCAGGCTTTTCCTTCAGAAACGTGACACCTGAGCACCAAGTTGCTTGCGGCTGGGTACTGTTTCCCCGCTGAGAGAGGACAGACTGAAAGAATCCAGAAACCCCAACGCTCCCAGCAAAGCCAGAGGCCGCTCAAGCCTCAGCAAAGAAGACTGAGACCATCACAAAGAAAAGGAATCCTTGCCTGACTTTCTTTCCTCTTTGTGGTGGTTAAATTTACTAAGAGGTATGGGAAAATTTTTGGAAGCATTTTACTCAACCTTCTTACCAGTGGCAAAGGTGAGATTAGATGGTGAAACAGACTTTCCATCCAATATTTAATCTGAGTACTTTAAACTGAGCACCTTGTAAAAGGATATTCCTGGCTGTATTGACAGTTTCAGTAAATTCTGGTGTATGTGCATGTCACAAGTGGAAAATTATAATGGACACGATGGCAGATGAGAGAGGGCACTACTTTGTTGATACCACAGCCAAGGACAGTTGGGGTATTTGTCCTCTTTCTTTTGACCTGAGTGCACTCTGTGATAGCTTTGACTAGTAGAATATGGCAGAAGCGACAACATGCCAGTTTCTGGGCCCAGGCCTTAAGATCAACAGCTTCTGCTTCCTCACTAGGAATGGACATTCTTGAATGCTCCCTGTGAGAACTCATGATGGAGGCCCAAGATGCATGGAGAAGCCACAGGTAAATGCTCCAGTTGGCAGGCCTCGCTGAGTTCCCAGCTGGTAGCCAGCATTAGGTGTGAGGCAGCCAGCTTGGTCGACCAGCCCAGTCAAACCTTCAGACGACTTCAGCCTCAGGCTACCATCTAGCTGCAACCACACGACAGACCTTAAGTAGAACCACCTAGCTGAGCTCAGTCACCCCACACAATCTTGAGCGATAATAATAAATTGTTTTAAGCCACCAAGGTTCAGGGAGTTTTCTATCCAGCAAGAGCTAACTGGTGAAGGTTCTATTTGCTTTTGGTTGGGATCTTTGGGTAGGAAAATATGTTGGTAGGAAAAAGAGATATGTGCAGGTGCCACATACTAATATATATTAGGGATCAAAGCATGCATTATTAGGATTTATTACTGTTCCGTTGGTTTTTAGCTTTAATTTTACTGAGGGCTTCATAAAAATACAGTCCTCAACTGTTGTGAGAGTAGAAAGCAGTAAAGATAAAATCTTGTAGATTATCACATGAAGAAGAATTCAAGGGAGGGAGTCATCTTGCTGCCTGCACATATCTGATGTCTTGGGGCATTTTTGGTCCTCTTGCAAGGAAATTCCAAGGCACTGTCTTCTCCTGGCATAATACCATTTCACATTATTCAACCAGTTCCAGCTAGGAAAGGGTAGAATTCAATTCTGAATTGAATTCAGTTCAATTAATTCAATTCTACCAACACACAGAATGCCTTCTTGCAGGAATGCTGTTAAGGTATTTTGCTAAATGCTGTGGGGACATATAAGACATAGACCCTGCTTTCAGTGAGTTTCAGTCTATCCAGGAGATACATATTCAACAGAGGCTCTGTTAATCTGCCCTTATTTAACTGATTCATCAGATTAATGCTCTCCACTCCCCATGAAGAGCAGGACCCTCTGTACAAAGACCATGCATGACTGCTCCCAGCAGTTAAAATGCCTGCTCACCAAAGGTCAGCTGCATTAGTCCCCCAAACTTTTTATACCAGGCATATTTGCAGTTCTAATTATATAATTTAATATCAGATAATCTGAAGAGTATAAAAAGTAAGTTCAACACTTAAGAAGGGCTAAAGATTTGAAAATAAACTTGCTATTGGATTATATTTGGGCTTAGAACTGTAAAAGATTAGAAAAAAATATGAATGTTTAGGAATATTTTGCATTTGCTTTACTTTGAGAGTGTTAAGTTCCTGCTTCACTTCAGAGAAACTCAAACTAGAAACTGTTAGGATGCATCAGGGTCAGCATTCATGCCAGAAAAGTATGACAGAATTTTAATCACTGAAACCACACTCCAGCAAAACGAATTGTCCCTATTTTAAAAAACTTGAAAATGAATGCACATTTGTTTATGGTAAAATCAATGATTAAGAAATCCATTGGGCTGGTGTGTTTGCATGTGTGTGATTTGTGTGACTTTCCCCCCCAGCTGACCTACTGTCAGTCCTGATTTCTGGGACAACAGGGCTTCTACTACACAGCAAGCTCAAAGTCAGACAAACGATGACAGTCAGTCCAAGACAATACAAAGACACTACTGTGGGAAGAGAGAGGGTAATCCAGATTGGGATACAGAGGTGGCCCTTGTCTGGTCCTTAAAGGATGGGAGAGATGACGGCAGATGAAGATGGAGTGGAAACAAGGTTAGTCTCTGGGTAAGAAAGCAAGATGAGCAAAATGCAGTGGAGACTGTGCAGAACGTGCTCAAGGACTGATAGGACATCAGATGTGATTAGAGATGTGCGTGCATGGAGGTAGGAGCACGGAAGATGGAAGCCAGGTGTCTACTGGGGATTCCCCAGGAGACCCTAAGATGTGACTATCTGTTACAGTGTTTCATCAGGAAGGGTAGTGGGGAGGCGGGACCACAGAGTGATGAGGCTTAACAAGGTTGCGATATCAGGCCGTTTCATGGAGAGCAGCTTTTGCTCAGTCGTGTACCTTCACATTTCAGTTATTGATCCAGGGCTCTGTCCTCAACCCCCAGGAGACTTAAATACCCAAGCTATTCTGGCTTTCCAGGTCCACAGACCAAGCCCACAACAGCAGCCTGAGAGAACCCTCCCTCAAAGATCCGCAGGCATTGGCTGGTGGGAGTGAGAGCCACGGGGGAGCCACATATGCATGCAAATGGGGATGGGGTAGAGCACAGACACCACCTCTGCGACAGAAGGCTGGGCCATATGAAGGGAGCGCTGGGGCCAGGCCAATGTTAGGATTGGTTCAAACCATATCCCAAACCAGTGGGGAAGCAGTGGTATCTGACTGAGCAGGAGGGTGGCATAATCAGGTAACACCCACCATCATCTGCTTTTTGAGAAGACAGAGAGAGGGATGGGGATGAGGGAGGGAGGGAGGGAGAGAGAGACAGAGAGACCGAGTAGGAAGCAGAGTTCCCAGTCTACTTACAGGTCTAAGGTGGGGTAACACATTTCAGACAAGCCTGCCAGAACTGCCCAGGCCAGCTCCAGAGTCATTCCATGGAAACCTATGCTTACTCTCTGCCTAAAGGTGGAACAGAGACATTTCCTTGGAAAACCACTTAGACTTGCTGTTGATCTTCAAAGGTCCTTGTTTTTACAATAGTAACTTCTGGGGTATCCATGGAAGACAATACATACTGATGATCCCTTCTTGTCTAACTACTAACATGCCTTTTAGAAAGATAATGAGTTATAGCTAAAGAAACAACGCCATGTCATGCAGTAAGTGTTGTCACGGGCTTAGTGTTGGGAGACCTGGCCAAAACAAGGTGGTAGCTTGCTTCACCAACAGTCAATAAGCAGTAAGGTGCTATGTCTTTCCAGTATTCTCACTGCAAAAGGACCTCAGTACTTCTGAATGCTTAAGGACTAGTAATTCTGATCTCCTGTTACTGAGGAAGTTGGGCCCTGGAGCTCCCACTTCATTCCTCAGCAGGATAATCTACAAGACACATCAAGTCTCCAGGGTTGCTCACCCTACAGCTGGCAAAGTGACTGTTGCATGGAAATGACTGAGACAGGAGACTGAGGGTGAAGTGGCACTTCTCCCAGCTGGCTGACAGTCAACTACACAGAGCCCAGCTCAGCTGAGGATGAGCCACTAAGGGTGGGAGGGAGCATAGGGAATGTGTCACACTGCCCTCCCCACTTGTGGGAGGTGTGGCATCTAAGGATGTCCGAGTCCACAGAGGAAGCTTGGCAGAGAAGGATGACATGGATTCAGCCACTGACTCATGCTGGGTTCCCCAGAAGCCAACGACCATGGGGGACTGTGAGGGACTTATTAGGAAGTGCTCCCAGGCCAGACCAGTGAAGGGGTCAGGGAAATAGGTCATGGAGGGCAGGAAGCCAGGCAGCGGTCAGCTTGATCTGGCAGAGGAGCTCTGGAGTTTATGTAACACTCTGGAGCTTTCCCCACTCTCAGTAAGGGAGTTGGGCTTTCAGACTCCCCCATCTCTCAGTTAATGGCCCAGGACTGCCTCATGGCAGCCAGTACATAAGCTTCTAGGAACTTTGGGTTCTCTGCCCATGTGGGGAAAAGCTACAGTAGCCTGATGACAGTCTTTTAAAGAAAACCTCAGGTGAAGGCTTTTGGGGGCAAAACTCCCAAAAGGTTACAGGAATCTAAGGGGATTTGGCAGAAGACTGACAGAATTCTACAGACATTAAACACAATCAGAACTTTTCTATTTTGAGCAGGCTTCTCCTTGAAGAGATGCTTCTCCCTTAAGAAAGAAAGTGGAACCACTCAGTGGCAATGTGAAGGAGACTAGCATGGAGAGTTGTTGGGCCCAAGCACAGAGGACACCTGGGAGAGGTCTGGGAGAGTTTAGGTATCAGTCCAGTGCACGCACTTCAACCATTCCAGCAAACTGGTGGAAAACCCTCCAAGCCAGTTTCCAAAGAACCCCTGTGTGCTTTAATGTTGCATCTATGACAGACAAGTTAACTTTATGTGCTGACATGCGTATTACTTGTCCTCATCTGCGTCACACATAATAAGATGTCTTAGACATTTTCTAACTATGATTCTATGATGCTTGCCCGTTACACAAAGGCAGCAAGTGATGGGAGGCTGGTTAGTCATGTTTGGTGCCACCCTGTATGGTGAGGCCTTGCATTCAGCTTCAAGAGACTTAGTGCTGTAATGACCAAATATTTCCCATGTTTAATGCCAGGGGAATGCTACGCTATTGTGGACTTATTTGTCGTTAATATCGTGCCTCCTATTTCTGTCACACTTATATTAGTCATGGGCTTGCAGTTATTTTGTTTAAGGATTTCTATTATACTTTATTGTCAATTTTATCCACTACCCAAATATACCTCCTCAAGATGTTCCATGAGTTATTTACACCAAGTTCGAGGTCAACAGTTATAAAACCCCACCAGAAAGTTGCATTTACCTTCTGAGTCTCAGTCTCTGCATATAAAATGAGGACGATGACACTTACCTGACAATGGATGTTGTAACCATTTGATGTGAACAATGCAGCTATCAAGGATGAGCAACGTTTATTGTTACTGATGATCCACGCCTGGTTTTGCTGTCTAGCACCACTCACCATTCTGCTGGTACTACTGTACCTGGATTTCCTTTGGAGCAATACCACTTTTATGACCAGGGTATGTTCTGATTGCCTTAAGCCAGCAAATGTAGCTCACCTCCCTGGTCACAGTGATTAGCTCAGGATGGACAAATAATGTATGAGAGTTAGGAGAACAGGCCCAGGGTACTGTTGGAGGAGAAAGAACTCTCTCCTCTCCTGGACAGTGTGGGGCGAGCCTGAGAAGCTTGTAGCTACTGTAGTGTTCAAGAGAAGCATATCTGGAGCTAGGGAGGGAGGCCAAAACTGCTTGAAGTCTGAAAATGAAGCCAACATGGAGGAAAGAGATCAAGAGAGTCCAGGGCCTGAGAAGATCTGCACATCTGAATCAAGCCATGCTTATCATCACTGGCCAGTAATTTACTTTTATTTTTTGAGCAGTGTGAGCTGGGGTTTCTGCCAATTGCAATAAAAGGACTCCAATGTAACATAAATACTACCTAGGGTTTATTAAGAGCTTACAATGTGCCCTACACAATACCATGAACAACACATAGAATGCTTATTCAAGCCTCACACTCACAGCATCCCCATGAGCTGTGTCCAATTATTGTACCACACACGAGAATGCCAAGGCCTGGGAAGTTAAGTGATTGGCCCACAGTCACACAGTCAGTCAGTCATGAAGCCAGGACTGAACCCAGGAAGTCTGATATGAGTCCACTATCTTTACCATCACGTTCTTTTTGCCTCCCTGTATATAAAGAACAATCTCTGGTTACATAAATGTATTCACCTCACTTCTGACTTTAAAAATTACTGTAAATGAGGAAAGACTTCATCGCATACAGCAAAGCCAAGGTACTGTTGGTCTAGTTTAGAACATACCATATCGGCATTTAACTTCCAGAACCAGCTTTGAGATTGTTTTGCTGACTATAACTCAAGATCTGGGTTATGAATCTCAAAAGCAGGACTGTAGGAAGCCAGACACTTTAACTAGTGGTCACTTCCTCATGTGAGCCAAGGTAAGACCACTCTTGCTTATGTCCGAATTGTGGAGAATGACAGCTAGAGAGAATGTTCTGAGACAGATCTAACTCTGGATTTGTTTTTGCTTATGTGAAAATGAATGCTTTCTCTTCCTAATAGGATCATATAATGTACTCCTTTTACTTACCCATGGAAACCTTCAAAAGATGAATAAAATTTTAGTAATTCAATTATTAATATATATGATTATGTGGCTTGCATCATACAGAGTTGTCTGTACTGAAGGATTTCCAAAAGAATGGATTTACACTTATTGTATCACTCCAAAATTAGCTGCACTAATCTTTTTGGATTATCACTTGAAAATTGCGCATCTTCAGAGTCTTTAGGCCTGTGACATCAATTTTGCTCATGACTCATCTTGTCACATAACTGTTTGATTAATCTGAAAGCATTATCTACCTTGGGCTGAAGCACAAACCACTCATCACTTGGATTTTCAAAGTTCCAGGAGCCAAAAGGAATCTCCACCTCCCCGAGGAAGCTGTTGCGTCCAAATCGATCATAATGCCAGACCGAGAGCTGCAGAGTTCTTGTTTCCAGCTGGGCATGGCTGATGGTGTACTACAAATGAGATTGACAACATCACACTCCACAAGGAGGGCTCTGCCCCATTCTAGGACAGGTTGAAATTTACTTCCACCATCTCTCAGATCATATGCATTAGTATTATGAACTAACACACACAGAAAAGCACTTTTCTTTCTCTGTTTGTGCTATGAATGAAGTTCTATTGTATAAACTCATTTTGTGTTAGACGTAGCACTAAAAGATATATCAACAAATTATTTGCAGGGGAATCGATAAACTTAAGTTATTGTATAACAAGTGTTAGGTGATGAAGCTTTTCACCTTTCCGGTTTTATCCATTTTTCACTTGCCTAATCATTTTGTCAACATCTACCTTGCAAGCTCAATATTTAACACGTCAATTCTCCAACTTCTCTATCTTATTTAATTCTTAAGAACCCCCAAATCCAGAAAAGTGCTGGCAGGGAGCAACTTGCAAACACCAGACTTCTTAAAGTCCAGCCTAAGTACAGGGGTGAATAGATACATATGTAGATTGAGCAGAAAGAAAATATTGCTGGGGTAGCTTTTCCTTTTCCAGCAGAATGTTTTCCAGGGCCACATGCCACACACCTTCAAATCTCCTGCTTGTTCTGTGCGACTGCCACCGAGGACATGCTTTGGATGGACTGATTTCTGATCACGGATTTGCATCGACACCTGTCCTTGCTGTTCTTGGCATGACCAACCTTGGCTCCCTGCTTCCTGAGTTCACCACGTCACTCCATCTGTGCTGCCTGGGCTCATTTCTGCCATCCTGTTATGGCCACTAGATTCACCATCTGCCTGTATTTATTCACTCATTCTCCCTTTGATCTGTCTTGATATTCTATGCAGGACCCCACGGACATGTGCCACCCTCTCCCCCTGCACCCCCCACTCACCAACTTCCTGTTATGGTGGCCTATGACTCCATCACTCTGGGCCCAAGGTCCACAAATTCCCCTGCACTGGCGGTAACTTCTACATGCCAGTTTCCCCGGATCTTTCTTACCACGCTAGATTGGTCCAGGGTGTGAGAAAGGGTTGTTACATGGCAGCCCCTGGGGAAAAGTAATTTCCCTAGGATTGAGTCCTGGGTCATATCTCATCTAGGCCACTTTCCCTGAGAGTTCTCAAAGCCAGTCCTGCATCTCCACTGTTCATGAACCATATGCCTAAATTTAGTGAAATTTTGAAACTCCACTAAGAAACAGCACATATTCATGCTATGTTAGCACAAGTGTGTACAAAGTGATCTGTAAAGTTAGGGTCAAAACTGTGCCAAACTTCTTTTAATCGGAACTAATAAAAACACAGTTTTCCCAAGGGTGAAACATATTTTTTGACAAGATGACCAGCACAGATAAAATTTTGCTGAATCATCTCTACTGAAGGTACAACTTCAGCAGCCGCAGAGAAACAGAATAGAATCAGGGTGGTGTGCATATTTTCGTTTCCAAAACTGTTAGAGAAGTCAAGGGTACTATGCTAATTTATTCAATTTTTGCTTTTTCTAGAACATATATATAAGCCTTGACAGGAAAATTCTTGCAGTTTCTTTTAAACCAATGTGTTTGTGAACAGCATGACTGAGTTACTATGAGAGAGTATTTATTTACCTTCAGTGTTTCATTGAATTCTGGATTGGTGCCTGTTCTGATTTTGGTCTTACGCTTATTGTTTCTGGACTTGTCAGGAAGAAGGTATGACTTGACATAACTGTAGATGAGAAAAGATAGAGGTAATTATTGGGAAACATCTACTTTGCAAGAAATTCCTGGCAATAAACGAGGTAAAGGAACTAGGTCAGTGAGCATAAGAGGCAGAACCAAAGAGAATGTGGTCTACATAACAGGATACCTTAAAATACAATGCTGGGCCTTCAGTAAGAGAGCAACACTGAAGTGTAGTGGTAGAGTGTAGACTTTATAGAGTCCAGGCAAGTGGGCTTGATCACTCCAGGCATCACTGGCTTTGGTAAGCACAAGAGCTCCCTTAACCACTCTGTGCCTCAGTTTCCTCATCTGTAAAGCTGGGATCATAACAGTATCTAATGTATGGTACTGCGAGGCTTAGTTGATACCTACAAGGAGCTGCCATATTATATTACTTGATAGCTGTAACCTATTATTATGATCAATGGCCTCACAAAGTATTATGGGGTTATATTCTGCTCCATTCAGATGAGTGGAGACTTCTGATGAGTGATGTCAGTGGTAATGGGTGAATGAAAGCCAATGGTGGAAAAGAAGAAGTACAAAATAAAATAACCTGAAGTCACAACAGCAGCTCTACACAACACACCTTGCCTGGAGCCATCCCAGGAGCCTCCTGGAGCAGGGACACCTTGGCCAACTCAGAACTATACGAGATGTGTGAGACTGGAATGTACAAGAAGCTACCCAAGCTGTGAAGCACATCTGCTGGGGCTCTAGGCGGTCCCTTCCCATGCTAGCCTAGATGATTACACTGGCCCTGAAGCCCTCTGATACTTAACTGAGGAAGTAGGTAGACCAGTCTGTACTCAGAATCCGTTTGTCTACCTTAGGACACTTGAAACAGCTTTGCTGAGTTGTTTATTGAACCTATGCTGTCCATTACGTAGCAAAAGGGGCAACACAGCGGGCCTGAGACTGCTGTCCTTAGGAATGACTTCTTACAAGGCTGGCCCTTGATTGGCATCCAGGAATGTGGATTTCAGGAGGATTCTCATCATTCCCAAAATAGACAAAAGGGGTTCACTGTGACTCAACTATTTCTAAGAACAATATACCTCACACTGAACACCTGCTTTCCTCCTGGAAGACGAATTTTGAAATGTGACCAGCTGAAATCTCTAAATGAGCTTCTCTGGTACACAACATTTCACAAGTGTCGTCGCAACTGGCTGCCGGAGGAATTAAGCACATCTTGTGTGACTCCACTGGAAGAAGGTAACCGGAAGCTTAGGCCTGGATTCTTCAGACTTTGCCACATATGCCTTTCCCCTTTTGCTGATCCTGACTACATGGAGAGACCTGTGAGTCCTCCTAACAAATTGTCCCACCTGGCAGTGATCTTCGGAGCCCCTGGCAACATCTTTCTATCTAGCTTCCCTCCAATATGCTATGGTCCACACCTGCGCTTCCAGGCTGATCCCTGGAATCCTGAGAGTCTTGAAATTGCTCATTTGGGCTAACAGCTTGGTATTTTTCTCTGGAGTGTTTCCCAGAACAAAACTTAACAGGATACCCTGGTACATCCTGGGATGTGCTAACCTGCCAGCCTTCTATCTCAAAGAGCAGCCCCTGTGTAAACTATGAATCTGTAAGTCCTGAATCATGTTGACTAAGAGTTTTTTAAAAATCAGGTTACCACGTATAGGGGAGAGCATAGTAAACATAGTATTCTTCATGTAAGTGTAGATTAAAGATTTAAAAAAAAAAAAAGAAAGAAAGAAAGAAAGAAAAGGGGGGATTACTCCTTGATAGGATAAAACTATTGGTAAATCAAAGATTAACGCATGCTTTAAATATCCTTAATTTTGATCACTTAAAGGGTGTCAGATGATCGGCTATGGAGGTACTCTTTTCTGATAATATTCCTTTCTCTTAATAAAAAAAAAAAGCAGTTCCTGTGTGCTGACCTCCAATGAGTTCTACACAGTGGTATAGAGGGCATGTCAAAGTGTGGGCAAAGGGTCTGTTTGTTTTTATGCAGAAGATCAAAGCCTAGCTTGGCTACCCAGAAAATGAACTAAGATACGATATGAGGAGGAGCTTCTGGCATCAGCACTCTCTGGAGGACTCGTGCCGGGGGATGATCATCAAAAAGCCTCCACAGGGATCCAGGCGATGCTGCGGTTGTGGCTGCGTCCATCCCACTGTTTCCTGGACTTGCCATTGGAATGAGGAGGGAGATGTCTAGGCTGGCATGTGCATACAGTGAGACAACGAATTTGAGTGGATCTGTACTGTTGGAACTCAACCAGGAGTTGGGAGGGGTGCAAGTTGTAGCACTCCAAATCTTACAACTATAGACTATCTATGGTTAAAAGAACATATGGGATGTGAACAGATCCCAGAAATGGGTTGCTTTAATTTGTCTGATTTCTCTCAGACTGTTCAAGTACAGTTGGACAATATCCATCATATCATAGACAAATTTTCACAAATGCCTAGGGTGCCTAACTGGTTTTCTTGGCTTCACTGGAGATGGCTGGTAATTATAGATTTGCTTCTTTTATGTCACCGTATTCCTATTATGTTAATATGTGTGCGCAAGTTAGTTAGTAGTTTAAAACCTATACATGCTTAAGGTACTCTACAAGAAGATATGTCAAAGAAATAATCAATCCTCCCATGTTTTCTTCCATATGCTACCTCTATAGCTTTTCTTCTTCCTTCCTAATTACAACCCTTAAATAGAATTCGTGCCTCATATCGAATTTACCGAGTATCATAATTCCTCCAGGTGGTAAAGATACCTCGAGACAAGTACTGGGCATAGAAGCCACAGGGCATAAATCTGCAAAGAAGTAAAAAGCTAACCTTTTCAAACAATATGGCTTCTCTCTCACTTACCAACTTTTCATTTCCCTGTATGGCCCCGGAAGATGACTGGTTAGCCAGAGACGGGTAAGATTCCTCAAGGGAGGAACAACCTAAGACAGGCACAGTCGCAGGGGGGCCATCAGGTGAGAAATTGGGGATCAACAGAGGTGAGGCTCAGAACCTCACCCCCCCTGTTTTGAAAGAAATCTTCTGCATCCATGGATGTTTTGCTGCCCTTGTCTAGCTCGGATTAATACTTAGTCCATAGGCACACACCTGATCATCTACATTTGGCCTCTTACAGCACTAAACGATGTTTTCTACCTTTATCTTGCATCTACCTACCACTTCAGCATTTTATTAAAAATAAAAATAATAATAATAATAAAGGGAGAAATGTGGGATCCACATATAAATCAAGTACAAAAATCAAACGAATATTCATATTTGACCTGATTGTTTATAGTTCATAATACGTGATCAAAACCGAAAGTTTCTGTGATGACTGCCCTTGTACTGTTCACCATGTCAGAACTTATTCACCATGTAAGAATTCGTTCACCATGTAAGAACTTGTTCGTTATGCTTCAGAAGATTGGAGACTGACGAGAATTAGGCTTGAGATGGATTAATGATTGTGCATTGAGCATTGACTCCCCTATACAGAATTTTATTGTTGTTAACAACCATTTGATCAATAAATATGAGAGATGCCCTCTCAAAAAAAAAAATCAGGTTACCACGGACACCACCGCTATACATGCTCTTCAGAGATTATTTAGAAGTGTGGCACAGGAGGAAAGTGACAACTTTCTGTGAAGGCTCTGAATCAAAGGGAATGGTAATGAAAAAGAAACACACATCTGACAAAGGACGCAGCGGCTGCAACAGTCAGAGGAATATGCTCTGTGCTTACGCGTCTGTCCTGTGTTTCTTTTCATCGCCTATGGCCAGATTTCTGCAGTTCTTGACAAAAATGTAGAGCCCGCCAGTTTTGTAGCAGTAGCTGATGTGGAGAAGGATTTCACCACTGACCTTCACGTTGCCATAATCTCCTGTTTCACTGTAAACACTCATCATGCTGTTAAGGCTGGTCTGGAATAAACAAAAGGAAGAGAGGTGTCTGGTGCTATCCTAACGATCTCTTCACACAAGTTATCCCCTTCATTCAATTACAATTCCTATTCTTTACAGTGAGCAGGGACATCTAGGGCAAGGGAGGGAAGCAAAAACCACTTGTTTTGCTTGTTTTCCTGGGGATGTATAAAATCCAAGCCTAAGGAAGGATAAGATCTAAGACCGTTAGTGGAGAGGCAGGAAACTTGCTGAGAGAGGAAGCGTTGCTTTTTTTGGTTTAGTGAATACTCTTTGTTTATTCACTTCTTCTAATGTATACAGGGTCATTGGGGCATTTCCAATCCCATCTCCTCTCTCCATCCCTACAGCTTTCTCCATTTTCACTGGTAGACTCAAGGTCATCTACTTCATGGGCTAGCACGCACTGACAGTACAAAGGAAAGCTTGTCTCATATTCTGTGCTGGTGGGAGCCACAAGCTTCTCTCTAACACCCATGGACAGCATTCCATCAATGTCTGGGAAGCCATAACTATAGCTTTAACAAGGGCATGCCAGGAGAAAGGCATATCCCCACAGTGGCTGTGATACCCCTGAGCAGCTGGTAGCCACACAAACAGTGTAAGACCAGAGCTTTGTAAACCTCGGTGAAATAGCAACCCACAGAATAGAAAACTAAATGATAAAGAGCATCCTAGCCAGTAAATAAAGCAAAAATGTTAAAAAAAAGTCCAAATCTACCAGGATGAGTGATGTTTCTGATGAGACACTAATGACAAGAGACGTATCTGAAATCAAATTGAACAAAATTATCCTTTGGTGCCAGAAACACAAACTCTGTATCTTAGCAACATGACTGTCACAAAAGTCCACCTAGAAGGCTTTCATGAGTGACCCAGTAGTTTGAAAAGCCCTCTCTGGGAATCCCTGGGAAGTAAGGCATGGTCAGTACAAAAAGACAGCTTAGAGTTCCCACTTTATATATATATAAAGTCATTATATTCTTCCAAATGCTCATAGTAGAGACTTATCAAAGGACAGAATGTGGGTGACATGGCTGGCATCTCTTCTAAGCTTAAGTCAAGGGCAATAGGAAACCAAGGATTCCATGATTAGTTGGAAATTATAACTTAGAGACAGTGGGTCATCAATTTTTCTTTCCCATTCCTAAAATAAAACAATAGAATTTTCATGGTAACTGGTGGCTTTGAGCAATGCTTCTCAAACTGTAACTGCACATAAATCATCTGGGGCATCTTGTTAAAATGAAGATTCTGATCTATTCTGCCTCGAGTGAGGTCTGAGACTGCTTTTCCAACAAACTCCGAGGTCCAGAACACCACAGGGTATTTTAAAATCTCAAGAGAAATGCAGCCACATCCACCGGACACCATGCAAACTACTAGCAGTAAGTTCACAGTGTCAACAGTAAGTCACACTTTGCTTTTTTTCAATGAAGTCCTACCTGGGTGAAGCTGACTTTGGAGCTGTTGCTGTGATACAAAGCAAGTATTGCGCAAAAAAAATCAGTGTGGACCAGGAAATGAAACTGGGGCTGTCCAATCATACTCCAAGAGTTGACAAGTCATGCAGTGCCCAACAGACAACGCACAGCCCACTAGTAAGGATTCAAGGCTATTTGAGAATGAAAAATATTTTTCTTTCAGTTTATGTGTATTATTGTTTTAAATGGCCACTAAGTTATTAGGATAGTGCCTCTTATGTGTTTTGACCTAACTACTTAATAAATGTGCTTATCGAGTATTACTTTAGGTATAGGAGGGCTACAAACGGATTGCTGGGACACCAAGGGCGCCATGCCACGAGCAAAGTTTAAGAGTCTCTGCCCCAGGTGATACAGTAGTGCTGGGCCATGGACCATGCTTTTAGTTTCCAGGGTGTCAAAAATAAGCCCCAATCTCCTCCTATTACCTATGAGAAACCTCTAGCTCACAGAAATTATTGGCAGTGCTAAGACATAAAGCATCATCTCCATACTGGTAGTCTGAGCCCTCCCCACCATACCTTACTGCCTCCCCAGATCACTAACTTGTTGCTATACCACATCCCTCTGTGGCCACATCCACAGAGACAGTCCTCTGCAAGCAGGGGGCCCCTATGGAGAGAAGTAAATCTAAGAAACATGACTGCTGAAGTTGGGAGAAATTAAGGCAGGCAAGGCAACTGTGCTAGTGATTAAACTTCATGCTCTTAACTAAGCCAATGCTGGATTTACAGTAGGGATGCTCATTCTAAAGGTATCTTGTTAACAGTAAATCATTTTGGACCATATGTCCTTTGGTCCTCAGATTCTAACATTTCATGAGTGTTCTTTCTTTGAAATACTTAGATTCTGGTAATGTTATTCACCTTTTAAAAGACAACCTCTCGTCAACTGTACCTGAGTCAGAAAAAGATAAATGCTGGAAGAATGGCCCACTCATCAGATTTCCCGTACCATGCAATTTGTGAAGTACAGTTAGCAAGAAGAAAGAGGAAAGATGGAAAACTCACAGTGTCTGAGTCAGCATCGGGCACATTTAGGTAGGTCCACTTCCTGTCAGAGACTGCTTGAGACTTCTTTAAGGAGGTAACCCAAAGGTCAAAAGATAATAGGCTATTAGAGTTACAGAGAGAAATTGGAGAAGCAAAGGAAAAGGCTTACAGGCACACAGATGGGTACAAGGACATCCGGGCTCTGAAAGCCTACGTCCCAAGCCAAGCCTTGAACATGAAAGTAAGAAGGGGCTTTCTTCTATAGACCGTGTTTGAGTGTGCAACCTGACTGGGTGCGTGTTTTAGGAAGATGACTGGCAGTAAGCAGTGTGGAGGTTGGGTGAGGAGTTGAGAGAATGCTGGCAGGGAAATCTATCAGCAGAGAAGTGAGATGAGTTACAGGCTTGAGCTGATGAGAACCTGAACTAGCGAGTGAAGAGGTTTAAAAACCTGGGTGAGGACCATGGAAGGAGGGGGAACTGATCAGGAGCCTGAGGAAAGGCCCACATAAAATTACACTGAAAAAACTCTGTGGGCAAAGGGCAAGCAGAGACTACAGTGACTTTTAACTCACTATCACACATTTTCCCAAGAACATTCCTATCTCCTTTGGAAATGCACAGAAAATCAGCAAGAGAAAGAAACTTGCAGCACATGCTAGCAAACTGCTTACGGTTGACAGGCCACTTGCTAGACTGTGAGTGTTTGCAGAAAACCGGGAGGATGCTAAATCGTCGATGCCTTCTCCAGTCTCTTCTGAGGAGTCCTAAGGAAGGAGAAGAAATCGGTGGTTTATTTTATTGCTTTCCCAGAAATTCCGCACATCAAAAACTATTTTCTTTTTTAATTACATGAAAAATAAGATACACATATCTAGAAATCACCCTATTCCTAGGTTATTCTCCTTTGCTCTTTATTCAACCTGAATTACATCACCAGAGTGAGCTCTCCTTCCTAGGGGTGCTTGCTTTAATGGAAAGAACATGAAATTTGGAATCACACAGACCTGACTGTTCAATTCCTACCTCCCTGATCTCTAAGGTGATTCACTTTGGGCAAAGTACTTAAGTGATTTTTTTTTTGTATTAAAAAAAGTTGGGTCTTTGCACACATGTATATTTGTGTATATGTGTATGTGCAATATATCAGGATGGGGAAATAGATCTCAAAAATCTAACAAACTATTTAAGACACCGAATTCTTGTCCAAACTTCCAGATACTACTTTTCTTCTCCCACTTTTTTTCTCCTTCATGATAAAACAGCTTTTTTTTTCTGGTTACTTAAGCAATACATTTTTATAGTAAAAAATTTCACATAATAGAGATTAATATAAATTAAACTTAGGTTTTCATTGACAAATTAATACAAAATTTCAATATTTATTTAATAGTATTATGGTATGTATGGGATACACACAGACATGTGGATTATATCACACACACTTTTTTTATTTTGGACACAATTATTTTTTGCTTCTTCTTGCCTCCCTGTCCCTCTTCTCTCCCCAAGATTAAACTAATATTTTCATCTTGCTGTACATATTATATTCCATGTTCTCATTTATGTGAAAAATCATATAAAAGTGTGCACACACAAATCTAAAGTCATACATAAGAATTTCTTTTAACCAGAGTTTTATAAATTGAGGCTATTTGATATATGTAACTCTGTGCTTTTGCTTTAAAAAATCTTTTTGTTATATGACATGTAGGGCAGTAAACATAAATGTACAGCATAATAACAATATAAAGTGATCAAGGAGGTGCCCCGTTTGTGTCTTGACCTTATCATAAAGCCCTTCTCCCCCCTTTCAAATAATCTCTTAACTCTTAATAACATCCTTGCTTTTCTTTATGGTCTTACTACCTAAGCATACATTCCCTAAACAATGTTATTTTGTTTTGCCTGCTTTTGAACTTTATGTAGAAGGAATTAAATGTTACATATTCCTTTGTGTTTTGCTTCTTTTGTCTTGATCCTCTAGTCTTAAGAGTCATCCAAATTGTTGCATATTGTCGTAGTTCATTCATTTTTATTTGGTATTTAATTGTATATGATAGCCCACACTTTATTTATCCATTCCTCTGTTGCTTAATGTTTGGGTTGTTGCCAGATTTTTTTTCTGTTACAAAGCTGCTGTGAATATTCTTGACTATTTGCTTTGATGGACAAAACACAAGTTTCCCTTGGATACGTACCAATGAGAGGAATTGCCACGTGCTACGGCATGCATACCTCCACGTGCTTATCTATGTTTAAGACGTCAAACTTTCAGAAGTAGTTGTACCAATCCACAGTCTAACCAGCAGTGCATGAGAGTCCTCTTTGCTCCATACCCTTGTCTCCCAACAGTTGATCCTATCAGACTTTTTCATTTTTGCTAACCCAGTAGATGTTTAAAATCTTCATGATTTCAATTTTCATTTCCCATTTTTACTAAACAAAATTGAACACCTATGTTCTCTGATTATTGGCCAACTAAATTTCCTGCTTTGTGAATACTTTTTCCAAACTTGCTTATTTTTATATTAATATATTTGTGTTTTTCTCACTGATGGGCTCACAAGATGAGCTGGTGCACTTCGTAGCACCAGAAACTAAGAAAATGCCCAAAACAAAAACAAACCAACACCAAAAAGACAAAAAACCCAACCCACAATAATAGGAGTATGTCAAAGGGATACAGACGCTGAAGGAGCTCCTAATGGCCAAAGCAGGGTAAGTTTGAGTAATAATGTAGTACTGGGTTATAACTCAAAGGATAAAATAAATATCCATGGATACATGCTGATATAAATATATGGTTGAATAATAAATAAATGGGTGAGAAGAGACAAATTCTCCATGAAAAATGATTCCAAATAACTTACATAGCTACCACATCACCAAGAAGGGGGAGCATAACTCCTTCGGTGTGGGCTGCACACAGGGACTTTCTTCCAAAGAGCATTAGATAGAGAAGGTGGAAATGAGTAGATGTTAGAGTGGAGAAACCTGACAAACACTACCTTGGTCAGGTGATCAAAGTCCGCATCAACAGTGAGAAGTCACGTTGATGGAACAGACCCTTGATAGGATGTGGTGAGAATGGCACTCTGCCGTTGTGGGTCTTCCTTCCAAAAATAACAAACCCCTTCCGAATCAGGAGACAAACATCAGACACATCCGAATTAAGGGAAAATTTTACAAAATACCTGACCAGTACTCCTCAAAACTATTAAGATAATCGAAGATAAGGAAAAGCTGAGAAACTGTCACAGCCAAGAGGAGCAGTAATTTGGATGTGACTCTGGAATGGAAAAGGGACAGTAGGTAAAAACTAAGGAAATCTGAGTAAAGTATGGATTAGTTAATTACACTGTATCAATATCGGTTCATTAATTGTGACAAATGTACCTTGCTAATAATATGTTTATAAGAGAAACTGGGTATGAGGTATATAAGAATTCCCTCTATTATCTTCACAAATTTTCTGTAAATATAGAACTAGTCTAAAATTAAAAAGGTTATTAAGAAATCATAATAAACCTGTGATAGATCCAGCTTGCTCATGGTGTCTCATCCTTCCTATATACAACTGAGCTTAGTTTGTTAAAATTTTGCATAGGACTTTTCCATCTCTGTTTAGAGACAAACTGCTTTTGTCCGCTTTTGATAATTTGGGTTCCACCAGTCTCAGTAAAAGGATCGGAAAAATTCCCTCTTTCAATTGTCTCAAAAAATTTATATTTAAGGACAAACACTGTATGATTCCTCTTATATGAAATTTCTAGAGTAATTAAATATTCACAGAGACAGAAAGTAGAATGGTGGTTGTCGGAGGGGATGGGGGTGGAGAGTTAGTTTTTAATAGGTACAGAATTTCAATTGGGGAAGATGGAATCTTTCTTAAGATGGATGGTGGGGATCGTTTTCAACATTATGAATGCACTTTATGTCACAGAACTGTAAGCTTAAAAATAGATAAAATGGTCGGCTTTATGTATGTGTATTTTACCACAATAAAAACGTTTGTGTAATACCTAGGATAATAATTTCCTTGAAAGTTTCACAGAGCTTGCCAGTAAACTCATCTCGGTCTGATTTTCTCTTTATGAGAAGATTGCAAACTACTATTTCAGTTTGATTAATCATGTCTGAAAATTTCTGGTGTTTGTATTTTTCTTCTTGAGTCAGTTGTGGTAAATTGTGTGTTGGTATCATTAATCTATAATTACATGAGGAACATTATGTTTACTAGACTCCCCCCATCACCAAGTCCCCCCTACATACCCCATTACAGTCACTGTCCATCAGAGTAGTTAAGATGCTGTAGAATCACTACTTGTCTTCTGTGTTTGTTCAGCCCTTCCCATGCCCACCCCAACATTATACATGCTAATCATAATGCCCCCTTTCCTCTCCCCCCCTTATCCCTCTCTTTCCACCCATCCTCCCCAGTCCCTTTCCCTTTGGTAACTGTTAGTCCATTCTTGGGTTCTCTGCATCTGCTGCTGTTTGACTCCTTCAGATTTTTTCTTTGTTCTTATACTCCACAGATGAGTGAAATCATTTGATACTTGCATTTCTCCTCCTGGCTTATTTCACTGAGCATAATACCCTCTAGCTCCATCCATGTTGTTGCAAATGGTAGGATTTGTTTTCTTCTTATGGCTGAATAATATTCCATTGTGTATATCTACCACATCTTCTTTATCCATTCATCTACTGATGGATGCTTAGGTTGCTTCCATTTCTTGGCTATTGTAAATAGTGCTGCAATAAACATAGGGGTGCATCTGTCTTCTTCAAACTGGGCTACTGCATTCTTAGGGTAAATTCCTAGGAGTGGAATTCCTGGGTCAAATGGTATTTCTATTTTCAGTTTTTTGAGGGACCTCCACACTGCTTTCCACAATGGTTGAACTAATTTACATTCCCACCAGCAGTGTAGGAGGGTTCCCATTTCTCCACAACCTCACCAACATTTGTTGTTGTTTGTCTTTTGGATGGTGGCAATCCTTACTGGTGTGAGGTGATATCTCATTGTGGTTTTAATTTGCATTTCTCTGATGACTAGCGATGTGGAGCATCTTTTCATGTGTCTGTTGGCCATCTGAATTTCTTCTTTGGAGAACTGTCTGTTCAGCTTCTCTGCCCATTTTTTAATTGGATTATTTGCTTTTTGTTTATTGAGGTACATGAACTCTTTATATATTTTGGAGTTAATTATATTTTTATAGACATTTATTCATTTCATCTAAGTTTTCACAATTTTTGGCATATAATTGTTGATATCTTGAAATCTATTTTATCTGTAGTTATGTTCACTTTTTCATTCCTGAGATTTGTTTTGCCCTCTCTCTTTATTTCCTTGGCAGTCTTTTGAGAGATTACCTACCTTGTTCTTTTCTTCCAAAGAACCAACTTTTTTTTTGTGGTTCTCTATTTTATCTGTTCAGTAGTTAATTGATTTCTGTTCTTAATTATGTCTTGATTTTTACTTTCTTTGAATTTAATGTGCTATTCTTCTCCTAACTAAAAAGTTAAGTTTATAGTAAATAATTTTCACCCCTTCTTCTCTTATATAAATATTTAAGGATGCAAAATTTTCTTCCAAGTGAGACTTTTGCTGCATTGCATTCTTTACCTTTTTGGGGGAATAGGGGGATGGATAGCACTTTTATTTTCATGGAGTTCTAGTTGTTTTTATATGCTCATTATGATTTCTTCCTTAGCCCAATAATTATTTAGCAGTGTGCTTTTACTTTGCAAATTTGTGTAA